TTGACAGATTGCTCTGTATTTTGATGTCCTAGGTGGGTAAATGGAAACACCTGCTCTTAATTTCGAAGAGAATTTAATGGTGCGGCCTTTGAGTTAATTGTCTTATTTTCCTTTTAGTACTTACATACTTCACTACTATTCTATTTTCAGAAAATGTGATCTCTGGTTTGAATTAAAAATAAGGACTTCTACCGGTCTTCAGGACCTATGATCTTAGAGGTTGAATGAGACCTATCCCATCCAATGTATTCTGAAACTTCTGGTAGAGAAGCAGATGAATAGCTGTTTGAAGGCAGAGGAGAGAAAACATTCTGGAAAGGACTCACACCTAACAATCCGGGTACAATTTTTCATTATTTTGCTTTATCTCCAAGTGGAAGGAGGGGAAATTTTTAATAAATTGGCTTCTGCAGGAATGGTTTTTTAATTGCATCAAGAAGGCCAAGAAATGGGACCCCGAGAAGGCAGTTTTTTCCCCAGTAGTTGAAGTCGAAATTCTAGATGGAAGTCATTTGTGAAAGCTCTGCTCTTGGTGGAGATACCTTGACAGAGCCGGTATCTCTAGTTTATCAGAGATTTTCTTGTTTGAGACCTGAGCAGCACACATTCCTTATTGGAGAAGGCTCTTCTTTACAAGGACAGCAGGTGGGTACTGAGACCACAAAGGGCCTTCCCTCTGCCTCTTGCCTGCTCTCAGACCAGTTCTTTTTTTTTTTTTTTTTTTTAAGATTTTATTTATTTGCGAGAGAGAGAATGAGAGACAGAGAGCATGAGAGGGAGGAGGGTCAGAGGGAGAAGCAGACTCCCTGCCGAGCAGGGAGCCCGATGCGGGACTCGATCCCGGGACTCCAGGATCATGACCTGAGCCGAAGGCAGTCGCTTAACCAACTGAGCCACCCAGGCGCCCTGCTCTCAGACCAGTTCTAATCCCTACCTCCTGATTCCTTCTTCAGATGCCCAGCTACTATGGGCCAAATATTTGTGTCCTCCCACAATCACAGGCTGAACCTAATCTTTTGGGGGTGATTAGGTCATGAGAGTGTAGGCCTCATAAGTGGGATTAGTGCCTTATAAAAGTGACCCCAGAGAACTCCCTTGACCCTTCTATCATGTAAGGACACAGCCAAAAGACTACTGTCTATAAACCAAGAAGAGGATTCTCACCAGACACAGAATCTGCTCGTTGGTGCCTTGATCTTGTACTTCTAGCCTCCAGAACTGTGAGAAACGTTTCTGTTGTCTATAAACCAGTCTATGGTATTCTGTTTTAGCAGCCCGGACAGACAAAGACAGCATCCTAGTGAAACTTGGAGGCTTGCAAATGCAGTCTCTCTTTTTTGGGGGAACATTTCAATTCAGCTACATTCAACAGATACGTACAGAGTGCCTTTATGTCTGTCAGACGCTGGGCCACACTCAGATTTCAGTGATCAACAAGATAGACAAAACCCCCAAATTCACAGGGCATTTCATTTAAAGTCTATGTTTGGATACATTTGTTTACACTATGGATTTATACTACAGTATTTCTAAAAATGTGTGTGTATTTGCAATTTTGTATTCCTACTAGAGGAATTTATCCTTTACGAGGGGGTCTTACTAAAAGTATTTTAATTTTTAAATGAATAATTTCACCTAAGTGGTATCGTATATGTCCTAAGTTTTCCCAGTTGGTTTCCTAAAGAAATGCGTGTTTCCTAATACGCGAAGAAAACTTCTTTTTTCCAACATGGGTCTTGAACTTACAACCCTGAGATCAAGAGTTGCATGCTCTACCAGCTGAGCCACCCAGGCGTCTCTATAAGGAAAGCTTTTTACAAAGAAGTGGACACTCCATTTGGGGCTAATGATCACACATTGGAATGTGGGAAGTTGTTGTTAATCATGTTTCTCAGCCGTCATAGGCCCCTTTACACAGAAAATGTTTTTACCAGCCATGCAATGAGAAAAGACAACCACTAGTAGTCGCTGCAAGCCCACTCCTTTGGCCCAAGTTTCGCTTTCTATGTGGGCTTTTTGCTGCTTGTCGGCAAACCCACTTGCCAATGCCATGTGCATTAGTGCTCTAACTGAATGACAAGCTATGACTGACTAGGTTTAGATGGAAATGGTAGAAGAACAGTTAACCAGGCCACCTTCTTTGTTTAGTACACATGTGGGGTTTAGGTCAGTGACTGACATTCTCATGCTCTCCTTCACATATTTTTGAATAAGATTTTTTTTAAAAAAGCTTTTATTTATTTGAGAGAGAGAACACATGAGCAGGGGGAATGGCAGAGGGAGCGGGAGTAGCAGACTCCCCACTGAGCGGGGAGCTGGACGCAGGGCTCGATCCCAGGACCCTGGGATCATGACCTAAGCTGAAGGCAGACGCTTAACCGACTGAGCCACCCAGGCGCCCCTATTTTTGAGTAAGATTAAGGAAGGAAAGACCCTTCTTACACTTTCAATAATAGAAAGAATATTGGACTTAGGGTCGGAAGACGTGGAATCAGATTTCAGCTTTATCTTACTAGTTCTGTGATATACTATAGAAATGTGAAGAGATGGCAAGGCAGTTTTCTGAGAGAAAATTAACTGGAAAGACCTTGTCTGGGAGTACTGGGGACCCACTGTTGACAATGATCTGGGGTGACTGGACTCTGAGAAACTGACTTTCACAACAAAAAGGGTACCTGGGTCTGTGGGAGACTAGGAATGTCAGTTAAGTTACACTATGTGGGAAGTCATTTCCTAATCACAAGGAAGCCTTGGGGAGAAGAATCACCACAGCCAAGGAATGTGGATGATTTTAGGAAAAGTCCCTCAGTAAAATAGCTTCAGGAACTTCCCCATGATACAGGGAGCCTTGGAGTCTGTGGGCCACTAAACCCTCTCCTGTGCTGCTTCCATGCTGCCCCACTTCCTTTCCAAGGGACATGCTCTCTCTTTGTTTGGAGCTGATTTATTCAAACAGGTTACCTTTGCTGGTCTTCCTCCAGTGGCCTTTTGTACATCTGTGTTGTCATTGTTTAGACATTCAACTCAGGATTTCTCTTCTGTTAATAGATAATGCTAATTATAGCCTAATTATTTTAGCTTTAATCTTTATCAAAAGCAATTCATATTTTCAATTGATCTATTTTGCCTATGAATATATTAACAGTAGTTAACATTTATGAGTGCCCATTTATAATATATATGTGTATATACACATAAATTATCTATCTATCTATCTATCTATCTATCTATCTATCTATCTATCTATCTATCTATCTTGGTATAAGTCCTCTCACTTGACCCTCACAATAACCCAGTGGGGCATCTGCTATTCTCACTTTATAGATGGAGAACCTGAGAGTTATGTAGGTTAAGGGACAACCCAAGTGATAAAGTTGGAATATAAACTCAGGAGGTTCTAGCCCAAGATCTTAACAACTGACAGCTTTTTCTACCATTTAGGGTCTGAGTTCTGAAATCTGCCTTTACAAATACCTGTGTGTGTCACCTGTGGGTGACCTGAGCATTGTTGAATTCTGACTGGTCGAATCTTTATTGTTCAAATGTCAAATGCTAATGGAGTCACAAGAGTGCAGATTTCACAGTTGCTTTCTCAGTGAATTGATGTTGCATGGGTTTTATAGTTTATATTGTACTTAACACAAAAATCTCTCTCTTTTTAAAAATGTTATGAGGAAATATCTGAAAACATCCAGATGATGAAATGCCCCCAAACACAATGGCTCCCTCAAAAAAAGGACATATTCCTATACAGTAGTTTCTACAAATCAAATTGTATGAATGCAGGGAGAACCTAAGAGTGCAGAAGCAAGGGCTCTGGATCATTATTCCGGTTTATTGAGCACGTACTTTGTACCAGACATTGTTTTAAGTTCTATGTGTATATTAACTCACATGATAATCAAGCAGCCCATGGGGTAGGCACTATTTTCATCCCCATTTTACACAAGAAATCTGAGGCCCAGAGAGATGAAGCTACTTGGTGTCACAGCTAGTAAGTGGTAGAGCCTGGATTTGAAGCCAGGCAGCTCAGCCTGTACTGCTCTCCGCTGTGCTCTCTGGGGCAATTGTGGGCTCTCCGGCTTGACACTCTGTCATCCATCTGTCAGCCTTTTCTCTTTGTGCACTTGATTTCCTTGGGCTTTCCTCAAGGCTAGTCTTCCCTAGAAGATATGGTGATTTGCCCTGACACCCAGCATAGATATGGGAAAGCTTAGTAGCTGTGATTTACAGTCCGTATCTTAGATTTAGAGTATTGAATAGGAAGTTTTGGTTTGCGGAAACCCTCCTCATCTTTAAATCTTATGATTGTTGATAGAGGCATAGAATAAGAGAAGCCAAATATATCAAAGGGGATTGAAACTCTTTAATGTAAACATAGCCCAAGGAGGACTTCTCTGCATGATAAAAAAGGGCATACAATGGATATTATTTGAATGCCGGGAGAGAAGGAGGCTTAATGATGATGGTGATGATAGGTACACTCCTAGAGCTCTCACTCTTGGCTAGGCGGAGTTCTCGGTGGAGCGCAGACATAACCTACTGTCAGCCAGAGCAGTCAGCGTGGCTTTCAAGGTGTCAAAACGGGGAACTTGAGCCTTTTAGGGATTTTCAGAAAGTGATAATCAGGAGAGGCTCCCAGGAATGGTTAACGAGGGAAGGTGAGATGGGCCCACCGACTCTCCCCCTTCCCAGCTGAGTGAGGTTGGGCAATTTAACCTCTCATGCTGTTTCCTCAGGCGTATTACGCGTAAACAATCGTTCCTATCACAGAGGGTTGTTAGGAGAATGAGGTGACACATAAATATAAATGCATGCACATAGAACAGGACAGTACAGCTGGATAAGTGTGAGTTGCTATTGTTATTGACACCGTTATTATGGCCATGGCCACCTCTGATGATCGTCACCCACAGGAAAGGATCATTTTCTTTCCGCTAGTAACTCTGGAATGCTGGATGCTTCGCCTCTTTTCCTCAGGGCAGTTCTCAGCTCCTCTGTTGTTACTGTCCTGGGCGGTAGAGGAACTGTACCGGGCACCCTTGGGAGGATCACGGTCCCTGCTCTCAGCTGGGAAGAAAGAACGAATGGGGGAGAAGGAGGAGGGATGGAGCAAAGAGGAGACCCAGAGGCAGAGATGTGAGACGGGCAGCAAGAAGAGAAAGAATTTGCAGCAAAACAGAACTCGCGCCTGACGCTCTCCATTTCTTGGACCTGGAGCGAATTATTTTACTCTCCAACCTGGACCTCGCGACGCGGGGCTGAGCGCCGAGGCCGCATCGCCCCCCTCCCTAACCCCGCTCCCCCACACCCCATCCCGGGCCCCGCCCCGCGATTGGCCGGCTCGCCCGGGCCGTCGCCGATTGGCGCTCGCCGGCCGGGTCTACGGGGTTTAAAGGGGGGGCGGGGGCGCCCTGCCCAGCCGCGCCGCTGTCCCCGCCGTGCGCCTGTCGTGCCGTCGGAGCTGGGCTCGCAGCCTTTCCTGGCCTGCCGCCGCCTCCAGCGCCCCACGTCCGGCCGTCGCCGGTCAGCGGCTCGCGAGCGTGCGAAGAGAGGACCGGGGCAGGCGCCGTCCGGTCCCGGGCGCGGGCACAGCTAGTGAGGGGCGAGGCCCGGGGACGCCGAGGTGGCGGCCACCATGGTAGCCACGTGCCTGCAGGTAGTGGGCTTCGTCACGAGCTTCGTGGGTTGGATCGGCATCATCGTCACCACGTCCACCAATGACTGGGTGGTGACCTGCGGCTACACCATCCCCACCTGCCGCAAGCTGGACGAACTGGGCTCCAAGGGTCTGTGGGCTGACTGCGTCATGGCCACGGGGCTGTACCACTGCAAGCCCCTGGTGGACATCCTCATCCTGCCCGGTAAGGACCCCACCTCTGAGTGGCTGCTCCTAACCCTGACCCTCGGGGCAGACTGGGGATGGGCGCATTAGATGGCGGTCACAGAAACACTGAAGACCTTAGGGCACGTCTTTGACACCTTCAGTCCCACCTTGTTGTAAAGGTTAGTCCTGGCCAAGTCAGGGCCCTCCCAGCTCCGCCAGGTCCGTTCTCGTAGGCTGGGAGGGGGGTGGGGGGGAGCTGTCTTACTTTCCCCACCCCTTGCCCCTGCAGTGGGGGCGTCCGTCCGCCCCCTCCCTGCCTCTACACCTCTCGGGTCCGATAGGGAGGTGGTGTCGCCCCCCGGAGGGCGCGCTCACACTGCGGGAAGGCGAGCCACCGTGGGTTGCCCGCTCCGCTCCAGCTGCGTCTCTGAGAGGGGAGAGGAGAGAATTGTCTAGCCTCCACCTCCTCCGACGCCAGGTGGGGGGGAGGGGAGGGCCCATCTTCACTTGCCTCCCTTTTGAACAATTCTGGGCAACAGTTTCAATTCAGATGAAAACCTCGAGCCAGTTGGGTGATTGGCTAGATCGCAGGCTCCCCTTCGGGTTTTTGCTCTTTCTCTCTGTCCTGCTAGCGGGTTTAGCCTAGACACGATTGCCTTCTGTCCCGCTAGCCTTTGAGGATGGTGCAAATTTAGTTATTTATTTATAAAGATTTTATTTATTTATTTTGAGAGAGATACAGGGAGAGGGAGAGAGCACGAGCGGGGGGAGGGGCAGAGGGAGAAGCAGACTCCCCACTGAGCAGGGGGCCTGTCCAGGGGCTTGATCCCAGGACCTTGAGATCATGACCCCGGCCCACTGAGCCACCCAGGTGCCCTGAGTTACCCATTTAAAAGCCTATCCTGGTTTCTTTCATCAGCGGAGTAAGTGGGCCCCAAGGCCAGTCTGGGAGCCTTTGGCTTTGTGCCATCTCCTGGGAGATCCTTTAGCTCCCCTGGAAACGCTGCTCTCCCCTTTAAGCTTTCCCACATGTGTAGTTGGAATCAATCCCCCTTCCTCCTTGCTGCCCTGGTATTTGACGCTTATCACCATCAGGGCGCATTTTGACTTTTTTGCTCATTGTGAGTAAAGTTTTTCTACCACATTTTAAATTCCTCCAAGATAGAGATGGCGTCCTGCTCTCTTTGCATCTTCTGCACCAGGCGTTGCCACGGAAGCACAGCTGGTGCACACAATGCATGTCAGTCCTGCCAAGCACTCCCCTCTTCTCCATTTTTTAAAAATTAAAAAAAAAAAGAAAAAGGTTTTTTATTTAATTTATCTCTACATCCAACGTGGGGCTTGAACTCACGACCCCAAGATCAGTTGTCACTCACTCTATTGACTGAGCCAGACAGGCAACCCCTTCTACTCCGTTTTGAACTTCCAGAATGACAGAAGTCCTGGGAACCCAGATCTGCACTCACCTTCACTTAATGGCAGCCTTGGGTAGACCTGGGTCAGACTCTGGGATCCAGTGCTCATCATCTGGATGATTTAGGACAATTTCCTAATCTCTGTGAATCCCAGTTGTCTTCCTTTAAAAATTAAAATCAAACCAACCACCTCTCTTTCAGAGTTGTTTTGCGGGATTAAATGCGATAAGAAATGTAAACCTCCTTTGGTAGTAGAGGCTTCATAAGTTGCTGCTATGATTTTTTATTAAAAGCTGGGCATGGTATTTGTAGGAATCTGACTATAGCATAAAATCACTTTCTCTTTCTTTTCTTTCTTTCTTTTCTTTCTTTCTTTTCTCTCTCTTTCCTTTCCCTGAAGTTAAATTTCCTGAGTATTCAGAGCCAAGTGGTTTATTTTCAGAGAACAGACCATCCTACAGATGGAGTACATTTTAGGGAGGGCCTAATCCTTCCTGCTGTCCCCCTCCCTCGCAATTGGGTGGGCCCAGGAACAGATCTTGTCTCCATCTTTTGATTTTTCAGACATGGCCTTGGTCTTGAGCATGTAGACAGCCTGCACCATGAATTTCAGAACCTCAGTTGCTAGTTGACTGCTTCTGCTGTGTCCACCTTGGCCTTCCTACAAGCTGCAGGGGCACTGGGCTTCAGTCAGAGGTCATCCCTCAGAATCCGTGGCTCTTCTCTGGGGGATCTTCAAGTCAACAGACAGTTGATTGATTGTTCACCTTTCATTTTGAAGAAGCTGAGATGGGCAATGGTTGGAAAAGTACCCTTAAAGAGTCTGAATTCTGGCAAACTAGATCTTGCTAAGACAGTGTTGCAACTGGGTCTTGGTGCACAGGGCAGGCTGACCAGATTTGGTATGACAGTCTTGGTGTGTGAGGCAGAAATTGGGGCTCATTTTGTCTCTAACTCTGCCTCCCCCAGGCCACTAGCTCAACTTCCGTCTGAGCGGAAAAGGGAGAGTAATAAATACACCCCCCTCCTTTGATTTTGGAGGAGGGAGAGTGTTTTAGTGAGAAACAGCACATTTAAGTCTGCCATATTCTGCCAGTATCTTGTCAGATTTATTTTACATAAATATTGCACATATTGTAATCTGTTTCTTTTTTTTTTTTTAAGATTTTATTTATTTATTCATGAGAGACAGAGAGAGAGAGAGAGAGGCAGAGGGAGAAGCAGGCTCCCCACTGAGCAGGGAGCCTGACACGGGACTCGATCCCAGAGCCCTGGGATCATGACCTGAGCCAAAGGCAGACGCTTAACCATCTGAGCCACCACCCAGGCGCCCTGTAATCTGTTTCTTAATGAAATTGTTACCTGGCATTTTATTTGACAGCATAAAGTTCATTTGGTTTTGCTCCACTCTTATTATTCAACTTTTTATTCCTTCATTCATAATTTCATGTTTATATCATTTGCTGAAGACCAAGGCAGGATTCCTCTAGGAATCCTTGGGTCTGGAGAGATGCCTTTTTTTTTTTTGTAAAGATTTTATTTATTTGTCAGGTAGAGAGAGGTAGAGAGAGAGTGAGAGAACAAGAGCACAAGCAGTGGGAGCAGCAGGCAGAGGAAGAAGCAGGCTCCTGGCTGAGCAAGGAGCCCGACGCGGGGCTCCATCCCAGGACTCTGGGATCATGACCTGAGCTGAAGGCAGACGCTTAACCCACTGAGCCACCCAGGCCCAGAGATGCCTTTAAAGCGATACCAGACCGTAGTGGAAGCACGCCCAGGAGACTGGGTGAGGCAGGAGATAGCGCCTGACCGTCAGTAGGGGTCAGGATTCATGAGCACAGTAGCCTCTGCGGAAATATCAAGAGAGAAAGCCCGAGTCTTAGTTTAGTCCAATTAGGACCACACACTATATACAATGGAAATTAAAAGCACATGGTTAGGGACAAAATCACCGCGTACACCTGGAGATAAAATGATTGCCCTGACACAGAGTAATAACACCAGGAAAAATAGCTAATCTTTTTGGAATACTTAGTACGTGCCAGGCACTGTTCTAAGCACTGCATGAGTTAACTAAGTTAATCTTAGTTGATCTTTTAGAGAGATACAGGCACTATTACCATTTTTATGTTACCAACGAGGACCGTGCTAAGACATAGCAGTTTCGTGCCTTGCCCACGGTCACCCAGGCAGAGCGAATCAGCAGCAGGCTGGGATCAGCACAGACCATCACAGAAGACATCCGGGAGGGTTTGAGTTTTAATCTGACTCTTTCATAAGGCGATGTAATGGTGTAATTGGACTCTTGACCCCTTCATCCTGGGAGCTTAGAAAGGTGGTCTAAACCAGAGATCTCCACCCAGTCTCTCCAGCCTCCAACCTCCTTTGTCTGTCAGGGAGTGACTTTAAAATCTAAACATGTGAAGTGATCTTCAACAGCGTTTACCATATTCTGAGTCCTGGAATAGGGCCAGAGGAAGGCAGATGGGCTGAATTCCCTTGAGCCAGGGTTCAGGCTCCAAGGGGACCCATGGTCTAACGCCCCTGTCTGTTCTTTTGTGTCCAGGCTATGTCCAGGCCTGCCGAGCCCTGATGATAGCAGCCTCAGTCCTGGGGCTGCCCGCCATTCTCCTGCTGCTGACGGTTCTCCCCTTCATTCGAATGGGCCAGGAGCCTGGGGTGGCCAAGTACAGGCGGGCCCAGCTGGCTGGCGTTCTGCTCATTCTGCTGGGTAAGACAACTTTCTATAGAGCACTCCATCTTCGAGTGAACCTGATGAATCTCAGATCCTCCTGCTGCTTCATTGAGTTCAGGAGGCATGTGAAAGGCAGCCAGGTGTATCCACCCGGGAAAAGCCCCCCATAATGTGTATCTCTTTATGTTTCATGGGTAGTTGATGCAAAGGGATAAGTAATGTCTGCGGGGGTCACTGGACATGAAAAAAAAGTTAAAAAGCTAAAGGAAAAAAGTGGGTATACTTAAGAGAGAGACCAGGGGACAGGAGAGAGTAACACAGTGGCTCTCCACTCAGGCTTCACAGTGGGATCCCTTTCTTGGGAATATCTCTGTCCAGATCCCAGCATTCGGAATTACTGGGCATCAGGCCAAGCAAAGATATTTTTTGGAAGCTGCCAGGTGATTCTTTTTTTTTTTTTTTTTAAGATTTTTAGAAGTTTATTCATTAGAGAGAGAGAAAGAGCACACAAGCAAGGGTAGGGGCAGAGGGAGAGGGAGAAGCAGACTCTCCGCTGAGCTGAGAGCCCAACGTGGGGCTCGATCCCAGGACCTGGAGATCATAACCTGAGCCGAAGGCAGATGCTTAACCATCTGAGCCACCCAGGCACCGCATTCCAGGTGATTCTTACGTGTAGCTACAATTGAGAACTTCATTTAATGTATAAAGAAAGAGTAGAGAAAGAGGAGGGCAAGAGAAAAGTAAGATGTTGAGGGTGGTAGATCACTAGTGATGATGCAGTTATTTTATTTTATTTATTTTATTTTTAAGTGATCTCTACACCTAATGTGGGACTCAAACTCACAACCCCGAGACCAAGAGTCACATGCTCCACCGACTGAGCCAGCCAGGTGTCCCTTAATCTTTTATTCAGTAAGGATTCATGGAGCATCTGCTGAGTGCCAGGCATCATGATCGGCACTGGGGACACTGGGGGAGAAAGGCGGTCTCTGCGTTGAGTGTACTTGGACATCTTGATAGAGTGTGGCATGTGCTCATTTAAAAAAGGTGCACAGGGTGTGCACATGCATAGGAAGGAACCTAAGCCAGGCTGGAGGAGTTTCCCAGAGCAGAGGACCCCAGTGATGAGTGTTGAGAGTTGAAGAGAAGGTAGTCAGATCATGGGTTGGAGGCGGGTGGGGGAACAGCCCAGGCCAAGGAAATGGCACGTGCTTGTTCAGTTTTCCTAGTTTCACCTGCACACAGAGGGCTTGATTTAACAACCTAGGGAGGATCCTTCTAGCTCTGCTCTCTTCAGTGATTTCAATTCTCTCTACTTTTTTTCTTAAATTCTAATTCCACTAGCACATTCTAAATCCTAATAGGAGCCATGAATTTTAAGAGCAGCTCTTGTTGCGAAGTGCACTGATGTTGGTGAGCAGCATCTGGTCTGCCTGACATCGAGTCAGGTTCTCCTGAGACAAGGAATTCCCATCCTCAAACTGGTATCAGACTATATGTTGAAGGGGAAGGGGAAGGGTCAGGGTTCTATGTGGGTCAGTGCCACTTAGTAATGACCATCCACAGTGACATCGGTGAGGTAAGGGGACATGAGGGGTAGGGGTGCCATTTCGCAAAGGGATGGAAGTTTTCAGGGACTTGTGAAGCCACAGAGAATTCAGAGGAGGGGCTTGTGTAGGTGTGTGTGGGGTTGGGTAACGGGAGTGAAAAGACCAGAGGGCCACCTGTCATTTCCGGGGAAGAATCTGGGCATGGACATTTTAAAGATTTTTATTTATTTATTTGTCAGAGAGAGAGAGAGAGCACAAGCAGGGGGAGCAGCAGAGGGAGAGGGAGAAGCAGGCTCCTCACTGAGCAAGGAGCCCAATGTGGGACTCGATCCCAGGACCATGGGATCATGATCTGAGCCAAAGGCAGACGCTTAACGACTGAGCCACCCAGGCATCCCAAGGGCATGGACATTTTGGTTCCAGGCACAAAGAATCTGTGTGGGAGTGCCACGTGGAACACAGACTCAGTATCAGGCGATCCATCTAACTCACAGGGTCCTCTGTTACATTGCTTTTTGGAGATCAGATCTTTACATTCAAATTCCCTTTCCAACAGTTAGACCAAAGCTCTACAGGTAAATTGGTGTGCGGAAACCAGGTGGAAACCCTTCTCATTCTAGGCAGTTGCCATTGTTACCTGCCTCCCATTCTTACAGAAGCCCCAGAAGGCTCTGTCTCCGAGGATGCCAGACCCAACGGGTGAATCTGTTGTGTTAGGTGTTCATTTTTAGAAATTCTGGCCTTCCATATGAGAGTCATAGGATATCCACTAAGAGAATACATTAAAACAAAACAAAACAAAAACCTCAAACCCTGTGGGAAATAAAGATATAAAGCAAGTATATATAGACAAATCGGTATTTAAAAAAACCCTAAAAACAAGTGAACTGTCCAGGTGAATTGTTTGAAACTTCATAGCTGAATTAAAGCTGTTCTTTATCTTTGTCAAGTGGGTTGGTTGGAATATGTGGACAGAATCGTAGAGAGGAACGGGAGGTGGGGCCGGTAGTGATGGGAGTCCCTCAGTCCCCTGTCACTGCCTGGAGTGAAAACCTGGAGGGGCATTGAGGGATCAGACTCTTCCAGAGCCGCTGCAGCCTTCTGGCCACTCATGATTAGGTTGGAGTGATGACACCACCCCTTGCCCTCTTGTAGCTTTGAATTTCCAGAGTTACCTGCTGCCTCTTTGATGGCTCCTGTCAGGTTTATTTCTCAGTGGGTCGCCGCTTGCCTTCAGGTTGGATGTTGTTTTGACTGGACTGAGCTCGCTCTGGAAATGCAACCCTCATTGTCTCAATTGTGGCATCTGCTGTTCCCCTCTGGGTCTTCTCTGGAGCCCGGTGCCTTGGTTCCCCTGTTGGCAGTGGGTGGGAGGAGCTAGAGAGAAGGCTCCCTTTGTGTCGCTCGGGATTGGCTTCTGCGCTCTCCCTGGAGAAGCCAGTGCTGGGTTCCTGCTGGATCCTGGGGGTCACCAGGGATGCCCCAGCTGAGGTGTGGTGGCTGACCAAAGGGGACCAGGCAGCACTGGGGTTTTGGGGCCTGGGAACTGGAAACAATACTGAAGCTAATCTGGGTATGGAAACTAAGCACTATTAATTAAAGTCAGTTCTTCCTGACTCTGAAAATTTTTATTTTTCCAAAAGCTTAAAAAATTATGTCTGTTGTACAACTGCTTTATCTTCTCAATAGTCTTAAGTTTAATGGTGTAAGGATTTGGTCCTGCTTTGCGGGGAAGGAATGGGAGCCTGATGTAGCTGACTTCTCAGATCTAGGATGGATCCCGGTGAATCTCATCTGTGGCTTTTCAAGAGCCCCTAGGGCAGGAGGTGCCTATGCCCTGAGCTGCCTTATCTTATCATTGGGCGTCAGACCAACTGTACTGAATCTTGGATCTGCCACTTTCCAGCTGTGTGAACAGGGGCAGTTACTTAATGTCTCTGACCCTTTATTTGAAATGAGGCGATAATGCTTATATCTGAGGTTGGTAAGAATAGTGAAAGGAGGTATGCAAGTTATTTAGCCTGGTGTCTGGCACATAGTAAGTGCTCAACAAATGGTTGCTATTATCATTGCTGTTATTGGTTAGAGGAAATAGAGAGCTAACCCAGAGAGCGGTTGGGTATTCTTTTGATCATGTCTCATTCCTGTGGGGTAATCTCCACACATGGCACTGGTCAAGAGAGTCAGTGAGCTGGTCCTGGAAATGCTAGACTGCATCCTGGTCTAATGGAGATATTTCCATAGTTTACATTGTAAAAACCAGAGTGTAGATCACAAATAGTTGGAGTTTTTTGCCTATTCCATTATAAGAAGCCACATTAAACTACCCAGCTAAAAACGGTCAGGCTTAGTTCTGATTTGATCTCATTCTCACCTCATTGTAACTTAGAAAGTACTTGATTTGGGTGTTTTTGGGGAGACGGGGTAGGGAATGGTAGGAGAGGAAGTGTATATTCCTTCCTAAGTGGGATCCTGTCGTTTTCTCTCCTTCTTTTAAAAAATATGGCCCCAGGAATTGTATTTGTATTAGAAAAAAGTTGTTTTAACTTGGAACTTACAGGTTAATAATGGAATTGTAGTAAAATAAAGGGTGTGTGCTACTGTGGGAGAGACTGAGCTTGTCATGCACACAGAATCAGATGTCCTAGGAAAGGTCACCCTTTGGTGTGGAGTAAACAGTGATGCCCTTAATCCTGGGGTCTTAAGAGAATAGATGGAAAAAGTCTTTCTCTAAACTCATTAGCTTTATACAAACAAGCCCATAATGTAAATCAAATTTCATATGGGTAGTGGAAAGGTTGTGGCACCTTTAGTATGCTTGTGACTTAAAATGACAGTTATCAGTAAAATTGGAAGAATTAACTGCTTTATGAGGTCTCTCCCATCTCTAAGTTCTGTGATTAGAAAAAAATTAACAAATAACCACGGGACTGGCTTTTAAAAAAGGTTATGGGGAAAAAAAGATAATGAAGTATGAAATAGAAATAAAAGGAAAAAATGTTGAAAGCAGGCCAGGAAAATAACGTATTCAAATCTTCCATTGACTTGATTATTGTTTTAAATATTAGATCTTCATAAAAGTCATTGTATAAGAAGAGTATGTCCTTTGGCAGCTATGTTTTCTTAAGTCAAAATTTAGAGAATCACAAATTAAAAAAAATAAAATAAAATTTTTCTAGATTCAAATTATAAGGAAACAACAAATGAATATGACTCCAACAGCTCGTTAGAAATCTCATTACTTGTTGCCTTGAGTTAATTGGTACAAAGCTAAAGTTAGTTGCTATTTCGATCATATGTTATAATGGCATCAGTTATAGAAGGCAGCAATAAGTGCATTGTCAAATGTTTAAATGGAGGCAGATTTTTTTTTTTTAAAGATTTTATTTATTTATTTGAGACAGAGAGAATGAGAGACAGACAGCATGAGAGGGAGGAGGGTCAGAGGGAGAAGCAGACTCCCTGCCGAGCAGGGAGCCCGATGCGGGACTCGATCCCGGGATTCCAGGATCATGACCTGAGCCGAAGGCAGTCGCTTAACCAACTGAGCCACCCAGGCGCCCCTAAATGGAGGCAGATTTAAAAAATAGTTTTTATTGTGGAAAATTTCATACATACCCAAAAGTAGAAAAACTAGTATAACCCAAACTCATTCTTGATAATGATGAACTCATAGCCAATCTATTTCATCTATGTACTTCTTTTCTTCCAGTCCCCAGAATTTTTTTTGAAGCAAATCTCAGATACAATATCAAGATTTTTTTCCAGTATTACTTCTATCATTCAGAGTAATTTATGTGATTTTAATGGAAATCTTGCTTTGTGCTAGAAATAATGCTCTTAAAAGTACTGTCAGTTCTTAGTTCTGAAAGTGACAAAACCTGAAAACAGTGGTATTCATTGGAAGAAGGAAGAAATGTCAGAGTCTTGTGCTCTTCTGCCTTTTTGGGCCTCTTTGTCAGTCTTTCCGTCTCTCTCTAAATTGTTGCCTTCAAAGTCAAACACACGTTTACTAATTTTATTTAACTTCATCACATTTATTTAACTATGTTACTATGTGTCATCTAATCCCTAAAGAAATTAAAAGCTGCAAGTACCTTTTATTGCTCTAAAATTGCCTTTCCAACTATTTTCTGTGTTTGACTACATCGATCATTGTTAACTTTTAATAAGGCTGTATTCTATCTACTAATGAACACATTGTATTACATTATTTGAAACTTAACCAAAAGAGGCAAACAATTTTATTCCATGAAGAGCAGGGATTTCTATTTGTGAGAGCACCAAGTCTGGAGAAATCTATATCTACACAGTGAAGCCTTCTTCCCTGCTCTCCTCCACCTCCTCCTTCTTTTCTTCTTTTTTCTTCTTTTTTTTTTTAGCTAAGTATGCCCCCAATTTTCACTTTCTGCTACCTTCCAAATGATAGATTCCTGCCCCCCCTTGTAAAGTTAACTACTGCATCTTTGGAAGGTAGAAGAGGAGAAATAGATTGAAAAATCTGAGTGTTAAAATTCTTCTGTTAGAGACTTACTTTAAAAATACATTCTGATGACATGAAAAGAAAAGCAATGAAAATTCTCCTTATCTTTTTTCAATTTTCTTTACCTATGGGTAACTGTGACTTTTTTAGAAAAGCATTTTCTTTATTTTCTCCAAGTAATTGGGAGAACCTTTATAAACTCTGTGTGTGTGTGTGTGTGTGTGTGTGTGTCTGCAAATAGAAATAAATCTAGCAGGCCTTCTATGTCATTAAGAAAGTCAAATATTATTGCTAGTTTTATTAATATTTCACATCTTTTAGTTAAGTAATAGTTTAACTTGCATTTTAACTTTACTGATGAAAACATCCCCCTTTCCCTTCAAACCACGCTGATACTGAGTAAATGCTTCTTTTTTGGTTTCTAAACATTCTTCATTCTGAGTTCACTTGAAGGTCACTGTTTCCAGCGAACCTCTCATTTCCCTTCATGTTGTGTGGCAGCCTGTCATCTTTTAGTGGTTTTGATGTGGTTCATCGTTGAGAGCCACAGGAATTCACCCAGAGTTCCTTTATCTACTAGGAAATAATGTGACCCTGCTGGCACTCATTTGTCTGGTTTTGCATGGATTATAAAAGAAGGAAATCTTTAATGAGGTAAATAATGAACTTGTAACTTTAAGTGTGTTAAAGTTACATTACAGTTTTATGATTTGGGAAGTCAGTTTTGATGTGTTTGAAGTGGAAAGTAGGCTTGAAATGAGACTGTCTCTCATCCATCCATCCATCCATCCATCCATCCATCCACCCATCCACTCATCTAGTCCTCTAGGTTCATTATGTAGGCATTTAGACATTTTCCTGTTTCCTTTTTCTAGTGAATTACATTGGAATAAAATCTAACAAAATCCCGGGTGCCTGGGTGGCTCAGTTGGTTAAGCGACTGCCTTCGGCTCAGGTCATGATCCTGGAGTCCCTGGATCGAGTCCCGCATGGGGCTCCCTGCTCGGCGGGGAGCCTGCTTCTGCCTCTGACCCTCCCCCCTCTCATGTGCCCTCTCTCTCTCATTCTCTCTGTCTCAAAAAAAAAAAAACTAACAAAATCCCTAAAACAATAGAAATCAAGGCTGATGATTATTTTTGGAATATTGAGCCTGATTCTTTCCCCACGTGAAGATACCCGTATTATTTTGTTTAGGAAGAGGGGAAGAACTAGGCAATTTCTTATTTTATTTTATATATATAAAGTATATATAAAATATATATCTTTATTTTATAAAATCTACACCAAATCTGCATTTGAGGTAGGTTTACATGAAGTGTGGGGAACACTTGTGCATGTATATGTGTTGTATGTAAAAATACGAAACAACTGAAAAATATAAAACTTAATTTGAACCATAAGCTGTTTTGAAACCAGGCTAATTGTTTATGGGAAAGATCGGTTGAATTGAACCAACTGAATTGAATCAGTTGTTTGGGAAATCAAATTTTTTTTTTTCCTATGGAATTCAGCTATTCCCTCCCCACCTTTTCCTTCTGATCAAGCTTGGGCATTTGGAAACCCTTGCTACGTTGCTGTTTTGCTCAAGCAGAATGAGTGCCCACTTTGGGGGTCTAGGGATGTGTAACTGGATTGTGTATTGATATGAAGAATCTAGAGCAGTTCTCTCTGGCTGAAACACTCTAGAAAGAGTTTCTGTTTCTTGTCCTGACACAGGGAAAGACTCTCTTTTTCTTCTCTTCTTTCTCTGTGTCTTGCTGAGGGTATGACTGACAGTAGCCAAGCTGTTTTTGGTGAGGGCTGCATTTGGAATGTGTGGCTGGAGGAAGAGAGAAAAAGCCTTTTCCCCTGTATCTCAGGTGTTCGAGGCCCTGGGCTGGAAAGGGAAGATTCCATTGACACTGGTCTTGAGAACACTACTCACAGAAGGACAATATATCGTCTCATGGTATCTCATACAAACATATTACAGAGGCTGCCATGATTGTTCTTACTCTTTAAGAAAAAATGAAGCCATTAACATATGGATAGATTTTAGCTTCTTAGATAGTCTATAAAAACTCCTGAAATATGTGAGTAGTTCACAATTAGTGGAGTGAATTTAGGCTGTTAGAAAGCCAATTTGAGCAACTCAAAACCCCCAAATTAACTTTCTTCCCTCTGACTTCTACTAGGGATCTGTGCTTTTTTATATAATAGGAATCACATCTATTTAAGTGTATGTACACCCAGCTTGTGGGGTAGGCTTCGTCTGTTGTTAACAAGAGCCTCTTACAAGCTACACAAATGCAGTGAGGGGGCTAAAGAGGTCTTTCAAAGGGGGTGAGACTGAAATCTTTTCTTCAGTTTAGAACTAATGTATGAGGCTGTTAGATTTGAGTGCTTATGTTTGAAAAAAAATTATATATCTTCTCTGTGGGCGTAGAGGTAAGTCAGAAAATAACTCCGTGTGAATAGAAATCAGAAACGCTTGCTGAGTTGAAAGTGACAAGGATACTCCAGGTAGCAAACATCGCAGTGCCCTGCCTTGAATTTATTGAAGGCTTTATGGCTAATGATTGGCAACCTCATTATTATTTTCTTGATCTGCCAGCTTTAGTGTGTCATCCCAATTTAAAGCTTCAACTAAAATTTCTTTCCTGCTTGTAGCTGTGAGAAATCAGATGATACCAAAGGAAGCTATGGAGTTACTTTGTCTGGAGTTGTGTTGTTCAGCACATTAGCCACTAGCCACATGGGGTTATTTAAATTTTAATTAATTAATATTCAAAACACGGTTTTTTGATCTCACTAGCCTCATGAGAAACATTTAAAAGCCCCTGTCGCTTGTGACTACCCTATTTGACAATGCTGATGTAGAGGTTTAAAATTTTTTGTAAAAACTTTATGAAAAATTTTAAACCTCCTGCCTGTCCTTGTTTTGCTACTCTGCTTAGGAGGAGGGGAAGAACTAAATGATACAGAAGCTATTTCTTATCCTACTCTTAAAAATCTAAGCCAAGTCTGAAAGACTGGTTGGTGGAAGACCATAAAATTCCACCATTGTGACTCATCACCGCAGATATCATCACCATAAAATCTTTGCATGAGTAAATTCTTTCACTCCAAGTATCATTTATTTGTGTGATTGTGAACAGTGTAACACAAACTCAGACTCGTAGCCAAAACTCGACTGATGTCTGGCAACATCCACCATAGCAAGAGGATTCTCAGAGCTTCTTCAAGGTCTTTGTAATGTGAATTGACAAACTGAAAAAATAGAGTGGAAAAATCAAGTAGGCATCATTTTATTTCTCATTTCCGAATTCATCAGGCCATCTCGTCATTCAGCTGGTATGCACTGAGCACACGCTATGTGCCTCACAGTGAGTTAAACCCCGACTTACAAATGTAAGTAGGACATGGCCCCTTCCTTCAAGGAACTCAGAACTTGGAATGGGAAATAGGCATGTAAAGAGGTAATTATAACACAATTAGGTAAGTGTAATCATAGAACTGTAAGTAAAGATACATAAAGTGAAGATATGTAAGTAAACACAAATACCTCTTTTTTGGCTTCAGTGATTTATTTTTGGGCTTTTACCTTGGAGTTCTTTGGTGTCTGGCACCTGCTGAAAAAATAAGGACCTAGCAGTTTGACACAGCTTTGGATCGGCTTATTCCCCAGACGCACACCTTTAGGTTTGGCTTGCCATGGGAGCAGAGCTGTGTGGGGGGTGCTTTTCGGACCTGGCTGGAAGCTAGAGGAGCGTGTCTGTGGAGTGAAGGGGAGCCCGCCCGCTGCGCTTGGTGTGTGGCGGGCGTGCCCGGTCACAGCTCTCTCTTGTCTCCGCAGCTCTCTGCGCCATGGTTGCGACCATCTGGTTCCCCGTGTGCGCCCACCGCGAGACCACCATCGTGAGCTTCGGCTACTCCCTGTACGCGGGCTGGATCGGTGCCGTGCTGTGCCTCGTGGGTGGCTGTGTCATCCTCTGCTGTGCCGGAGATGCCCAGTCGTTCGGCGAAAACCGTTTCTACTACTCTTCGGGCTCCAGCTCGCCCACTCATGCCAAGAGTGCCCACGTATAAGAGGGCTGCTAGCCTGCCCACCGAGGTGCTGCAGATACTGGGCCTGTGGCCCTGGGTTTGCTTGCCACAGGCAGTGGAAGCCTGCTCCAATGCCAGGCTCCAAAGCCAAAGTTCTAGAAAAGCATCCTGTCTGGCATTTTTTAGTCTTAATACCCCTCTCCCCGTTCATTGCCTTAAAAGGAATCTTTAGCTCAGAAAATGCCCACACACTTTTCTCGTGGTTTTGCCCATTATTAGCTCTTTTCTTGGGCATTCCTTTGTTGTTCACCAGTATATATATGTATATGCATATGTATATGTATATGTATATATATTTTCCTCTCTTTAAATTTTAAATATCTTGCAAACATTGCTGAGTTGGGTGTGGGGAAAGAAAGAAAAGACACTTTTCAAACTGTTACAGATGACAATGGGAGCCTCATAAAGATGTCTCTCTGTTCGCTCCCTCCTCTTCGGCTCCAAGGTCATTTAGTTTTAAGCGATAGAAAAAAACAGAACTGGGGACATGAGGTGGGGAGGGAGGGGACTGTGGAACTTTCCCTCCATGGGAAACTTTCCCTTTTGTAAATCGAGGGCAAGGGGTGGGGATATTTTTTAGTTTGTGATTTTACATTTATCTGTACATACTTTTTCAAGATTGATCATTTTTATAACCATGGTTTTCCTGAAATTCTCAATTCATCAGTATGAAGGAAATGAACCAAATAGGCCTTAATTATATGATAAATAACAGTCCAAGTGAATATAACTCTAACTGACATGCCACAAAATATTTTTGATTTCCAGATTTGTATGATACAGTTTTTAATCCTACACTTGCGTATGCTTCAACTTAACACATTTTTAAAGCTTTTCCCCCCTTTCTCTATTTTCATTTTGTTAGCCATCTTGAAGTGGTGTTGTTTAACATAAATCATGCTGTTGAATTTGGCTTTACGGGTGTAAACACTGATGCTGTATCAGTATTTGAGACCCCAAACTGTCCAAACATTGATGGTGCATTTTGTCCTTTAAGTGAAACCCGTGCAATAAAATAACAGACTGTTTGCAAAAGTGGCCTCGATAGTCTGTCGTGTCCAGAGGCGCCATCCATGGCTTTTCACCATTCTCATTAATTTCTACTAGCAATTGATAGGGAACCTGGTCGTGACTCAGGAACAAGGCATTCTGCACTGCCCTGAGTGATGAAAACACTCTGTCTTATTCCCTGTACCACGGTGGTCCTGCGTGGTCATAAAAGTGAAACCAGTGGAGTGACGTTACAGCAACTTTGAGTCATACACAAATGGGCAGAAGTCAGAAACCAAGTCCCTAGCATTACACAGATAAACGTTTTTGTCTACTTTGAACGCTTAGGAAAGAAACTGGCTAGGTATAAAGGGAAGTATAAAACAAACCCCCTATATTGGATATTTTGGTGATAATATCTAAATGCAGTGTCCTCAAACATATGCACATAGATGTTTGGAAATTTTGGACAAAGATAGACACATCGAGTTGATTCTTGTTTGTTTTCTATTCCAGAAACTGTCAAGTTATGAATCTGCTCTAAAAAACACAGATTACAATCTACGTTGGCAGTGTTTTTCCAAAAATACTAATTCTGTTAGCCGATAATATAATAGGCAAACATTTCCTCTTTGGAAATATCCATTTGGGCTAGTCATTTTGGTAGATATTTGTGTACATTAGGAGATTATAACTATTTCTGAGTTACTTGTGCAGAAGAGACAGTCTTCATGTTGACCAAAGTATTTGCTTAGTTATGATAATGTTTTATAAGGATACAAGTCATGTAATTGTACTAGAGGACTCTCTCTAATAAAAACTTGTCAGGGTCTAATGACGGTGAGCTTGAGAGGAGCAAAAAGGCATCCAGGGGGTGTGGACAAGTAAGGCCCCCCATACCCTCTCCTTAGCACTGCTGGCTTGAGTCTCAAGTGTTTCAAGTGGTTCTCCTCTTTTCCTAAGGATGTATGTACTCACTCAGCCACCCCCTTCCCTGAGGCTGCTGCTCGCTTTCCCACCTGAGGGGGCGCGCTACATGAGCCCACTTTTCCCTGCAGCGAGAGAAGACACACCCCAAATCTCTCCTAGTTGATCGTTGCCTGCCTAGTTAGGAAATCCCATTTGTAGGTCATAACTACAGGATTGGGTTTTATTATCAGTGCTAGGGAGGGAAGGAAGGAGGGGTAGCTGTTCCTCCAGAACAGCACTGTCCAGTAGAAATATAATATAGCCACATATGTTATTTAGAATTTTCTAGAAGCCACATTAAAAAGCTAACAATGAGCAAGTGAAATTAATTTTAATATATTCCATTTAATCCAATATATCCAGAATATTGCCATTTCAATATGTAATCAATTACTAATGGGATATTTTATGTCCTTCTCTTTGTACTACGTTTTTTGGATTCCAGTGTGTATTTTCCACTTACAGCATGTCTCCATTTGTACTAGTCACACCTTCAGGACTCAGTGGCCACATGGGCTAGTGGCTATTGGATTGGACAGCACAGCTATAGAACAACAGGTTCTGTTCCGGCAATCATCAAGAGGGATTCAGTCTTGATGATTTTGTCTGCTCTCAGTAGAGTTCCATTGGAATGGGGCAATACAGTGACAATAATTGTCACCCAGGGGAAAACAATGACACCCCCCACCCCAACACAAGTAAAATAGCAGACCCAAAGTGCTCTACCTGAATCACAGGGAGAAGGGAATTCACGCTCTCAGGACATGTTTGTGTGGAACTTCACACGTTTAACCCTCCGCACAGTCCCTAGTGTATAGGGAGGAAAATGAGATGTAGAGAGTTCAAGTTATTCGTCAAGTTCAGATAGCCCCTAGAGAGGAGTAAAATTGGATTTAAGTCTATCTAATTCTGAAGCCCTTGTACTCTCATATATGAATCATTGCTAGGAAGTCAGGTAAAATGTAGATTCGTTCTCCTCACCCCTAGAGGCCCCTCAGTCATTCTGGGCTGGTACCCAGGAATCTGCATTTTGATCGCACATCCGTTGATTCTGATGGGATGGTCCTCATGCCCCACTTTGAACAACAGTGAAGGGAAGGGCCTCTTTCTCATGCCTTTCTGTTGCGCAGCTAACCACCCCCATCCTGCTTTTTTTTTTTTAAAGATTTTATTTATTTATTTGACAGAGAGAGATACAAGCAGGGGGAGGAGAGGGAGAAGCAGGCTTCCCGCGGAGCAGGGAGCCTGATGCGGGGCTCGATCCCAGGACCCTGGGATCATGACCTGAGCAGAAGGCAGACACTTAACGACTGAGCCACCCAGGCGCCCCTCTGCTTTGATGGTCCTTGGAGGAGAGCTGACTTTGGGACTTACAGCCAGCTTTCTCCCTTTTTGGCCTTTTCTGAAGAGACCACATGCAGGGAGATCTCTGGGTTGAAATAAACCAGTTCTGTTCATGCCTTCCAAGAATTTGGTAGCCACCAAATTAGAGAAAGAATGTTTCAAGGAAATCTCTGCATCTAGGGACGCTGGTTACAACAACAGCAACGAAAAGGAAAAGATTGTGCACTTAACGAATACAAGTTACATATTTGTGCTGAATTGGTAGTTTGGAATAACAATAGAACAAGGTTCGGTTGTATCTTGCCCCACGTGTGTGTTTTTTTTTTTAAATTTCAAATCTGCCCATCAGTGTTTCTCTATACAATGTACACAATGTGAACTGCAACATCTTAAATGTTTGGCAGGACATTCATGCTCATGACATCACATGCTGGGAGGACAGGGAGGCCACTGTAGGGCTGGCCCTGGGGAGAGGCCGATCAGTGCGGCCATTGAGATGTGCCCACAAAAGAGTGTGTGACAGCCAGATGTGCAGCTTAATGGAGACTGACCCAGAATTGTGGGGGGAACATTGGCACATGCTGCTTAATGGCTTGAATAGCAGCTCTTGAGGAATCTATGTTTCTCTCCCTCACGCAGAATCTCAGAGCTCAGGCTTTGTGGCCCTGTGGCCGGGGGAGGGAATGGAGATGGAGGGACTTGTCACTGCTCCATGCCCCATTGTTGAAATGAAAAACGTGGAAATGTTAAGCCATTTCTAGAGGATTTTGGATTTTGGAAGGTAAGAATTGCTTATGCTCTACATCAGAATTAACTTCCAAATAGTAAAGGGCACCCAGTTGTCATGGCCTGGGGCTTTCTTGATTTAAGACCGTTTTTTTCTCTTGTATTGCATTATATAGAGTTGTGCTTTTCCAACTGTAATGTGCATACAGATCCCGGGGGTGTGGGGTGTGGGGAGTCTTGTTAAAATGCAGATTCTGAGCCAGCAGATCTGGGGTGGGCTCTGGGAGTCTGCATTTCTAACAAGCTCTCAGGAGATGCTGATGCTGTTGGTGTAAACTCACACCTGGAATAATATATACTCATTAAAGAACATTTGAACACTTGTTCAAAGATGAAATAAGAGGGACACCTGGGTGGCTCAGTCGGTTAAGCGGCTGCCTTTGGCCCAGGTCATGATCCCAGGGTCCTGGGATCGAGTCCCACATCGGGCTCCTTGCTCAGCAGGGAACCTGCTTCTCCCTCTCTCTCCCTCTCCTTGTGCTCTCTCTGTCAAATAAATAAAATCTTAAAAAAAAAAAATTCTAAAAAAACAAAAACAAAACAAAACAAAAAACAAAGATGAAATAAGAAAATAAAAAATTACCCATCATTTCATCACTAGAGCAATTTCTTTTATATATATATATATATATATATATATATATATGGTCATTGTTTTATGGTAAAATAAAAACCTCTAACATACTATACATAATGGTTTGTAATCTATTTTAAGAAAAACTTAAAATGTCCAGAGAACATTTTCTTATATCATTAAATGCTTTTCTAAAACAAAAATCTTAGTATCTCCACAATCTTCCATTGTTTGGATGTACCATAATTTACTCAAGGAGTTCCCAAGAATATCTTGGTTATTTTGGTTCCTTTCTAACTCTTCAAAGCAATTTTGCCACAAACATCCTTATAGGTAAGTCTTGCACGTACACATGATGATCCCTTTAAGATCAATTCCTAGAAAGGAATTGCTGGGTCACATATTCCAGACAGTGTTTTAGGAACAGTTTATTTTTTTGATAAAGGGGTGCCTCGCTTCCTCTAGCTCTTATAATAGGTGCAGTGTATCAATTTAATATGCTGTTTGGGAGGATCATTTGAAATATTTTACATTTCAGCTTTGCGCAGTGGCAGTATTGTAGCCAATGAGGTTTATCCGAGGCGCGATTATTGCTGATTGAAATAGTTTACATTTCAGTTATGTTGATATGGAATTATACAAAGAAATCCTTGTAATAAATAGTCAATGGAAAAATTCCAGATCATGATAGGAGAAAAGGTGTGAGAGAGGAGCTTGCTCTGCATTACAATTCTGCTTTAGTTGACTCTGGTCTATAGGGGGGTCCAAAGGTGAGCATTTATCTCCAGGAGACCTTGTGTAGGGACCACTCTGATGCCTTGGTTAGGAGTGGGAAGCTCCGGGAGCATGGCTAGCTGAATCATTATTCTTTGTTTTATTTGCTGGTCCCCCTCCCCCCAAAATCTATTAAGCATGAGACAAAAAACAAAGCATGGTAAAAATGAATTCCTTGCCCTTGCCCCAAACTTTCTAAATGTTAATCCTGTGCATATGCTGAAAGGGAATTGACCTGGGTTCTCTTGCCGACTGCTTTTATTTAAGTTATGTTTCAACAAAGGGTCAGAAAAAATGCACATAAAGCAGCTTCTAGAGACATGGAAAGGCCCAGGACTCTTGGATGAAGGCAGCCAGGGATCTTTGGGTGTTTCCCTTGGTCCCGCTTTGGCTTCCATGAGCAGAACAGAACTGTTTCAGCACACAGTTAGGAGGCCTCCCTTGCCCAGTCCAGCCCACGGGCTGACCTGGGGTGCTGTGCTTTCCTTCAGTTCTGGGCTATGCCGAACCCTTCCCCGCTTTCATGTTGTTTCTTTCCTGAACCAGAATACAGCTCATATTTGCCTCCGTCTCAGACTATCTAAGCAGGGAT